AGATAAAAACCACCTTATGTACAAAAAAGAGAGAAATTATTCGCAAACTAGGGCTTGGCCTAGCGGTGGAAGGGGCTTGTCTCCTTCCACTGCACCTGGGTTCAAGCCCTAGCGTGCACGCCTGTCACCCCCGCGGTGCCTTCCATGCCTATTGGGTTTGCAGGATATTCAGTGGGCCGTGGGGATTAGTCGTGGTGCGCGCACGCTGGCCCGGACACCCCACGTGAATCAAAAAAAAAAAAAAAAAAAAAAAGAGAGAAATTATTCTCTTGTTGTAATAACATGAGATGCTTTTAAATGTCCAAAAATGAGATTGGGCTGCGTTTCAATCATATGGGCTTAGTTTTCATGTTGCTTTTCTGCGGTTTCTAGGCTTTGTGCTTTATGTAGCTCATGGTTTCGGCCCATTTTCACTTACCAAGTTTTAAAGTTTTATTTTTCCAGATTAAAAAAGAAAAAAAAAAGCTCTTGCCTGTTTTTGTTAGATAAATTGTTGAAAATAAGTCTTCCAATCTTTATTTTATTATTATTAGGTTTTAATATTTTAATTTTAATAACTAATGAAACTTATATTAATTTAACCTCAAAATAGAATATGTATGGCAATGAATTTATACCTTAATTGGCGTTCATGTTCCCATCTTCTTCAAAATTTTCATATTAGAACCTCTCATGATAATATCTTTGGTTTTTTTTATACAGTCTTCTCCTTAGCTATGAACAACTTTTTTGGCGTTCAAAAACCATGTTACAACTTTTTTTAATGCCATAAAAGAAGTTTATTTTTTTTTTATTGTTCTTACGAGCATTTTACTCTTGACGTTGACCTATGGAACATGGTTTTTGAATTGTCTTTCAATCATTTTATCTGGCAACTCAAATACATCAAATAAATTAACCTACGGGTACACCTTCACCTTCACCTTCACCTTCACTATTGTCTTTGGCAGCAGTTGCTCCAGTTCAAACGAGTCCAAGCTCTAGAGGCAGAGACTCAGAAACGAAAGCAACACAAATAATAAATGCCATACCTCTTTTGAAATACAATGTTCGTCCATGTCTATTTTCACAATTTACAGCAGTATAATGAGTTTTTTATCTTTTCATTTAAGAAAGCGTAACAGTAGCTTATCTAAATTATGAGCAACTAGAAGATGAATTTATACTGTTTGAGTTATGGATCAGGTGGGTTTATCTTAAATTAACCCGAACTTGAGTCAATAAAAAATATTTAATGGTCAAAATAAAAAAGTTTTTTAAAAGCTCCTTTTATGGCTGATTCTACTATTTTCTATATGTTCCTTTGGATTTTATTTTTTTAATTTAGAACTTTTACTTATTTCTTTTACGTTTTTTGATTCTTAGCTGTTTTTTTTTTTTTTTAATAAAGGTAGCGACCCCTAATTTATTTAAAAGTTTTTTGAGTTTGCATCTAATTTGTATTATAATAATTTGTATTTGTCCTCTAGCTATGGAAAGTAGCGTTTGGCCTATGGAACATGCATACTGTTTTTATGTCAATTTTGGACCATGTTGAAACCGTAAATAATGCACAAGAATCCTCGTATGTGAGGTTAAGTTCATGTCTGATAATGAGATAAATGGTTTTTTAAAAAAATATTTTTAAATTAAAAATGCATTAAAATAATATTTAAACTTTATCTTTTGTATTAACAAACACATTAAAATTATTGAAAACTATTTATAAAATTATTAAAAAAAATACTTTAAAAAACAGATTGAATCATGTCACCAAATATAATATAAGTATGGCCACCATGTGTTGTCTCAAGTGTTCAGGGGGTTCCATGTGAAGATTGTGACAAAAAATTACAAGTAAGAAGTTTAAGATGATTGAAATTGTGATTGAGAGGCCAATATGACTAACCTTCTAAACTTTGAGGACCATATGGAGGGGTGGTAAGTTTAAAAAGAAAATATAAATTATGATTTATTTTTTTTTGTAGCAGGTTTTGCAGTTATGATTTAAAAAGAAAAAAAACTATAAGTTATAATCTTTTTAAATTCAAGCTTTTACCATTATTTAAGATGAAAATAAAATTTAAACACTGAAAAATTAAATAACTTTTAAAATTATAATAAGTTTAATTACACTACGTAACAATATCAAACGAAATCTAAAGCATGGTTGCTAAAGAAATTTTTCCTTTTTAAAAAAATGTCGGTCTACTAAAAGAGGGAAAAGGTGGTAGCTTGCTTCGTAGCAATGAAAAGAACAGAGCGAAGCAATCGATGCGGGAAAAGATTAGTACTGTTCGCTTCCTTCAACTCAAAGTATTGGGGAGTTCAAGAACAAGATGATTCATTGGAGATTCAAAAGGGTTGACGCAGAAAGAGGATAACTTTTTAATGATTTTATTGACCCCTTATTTGATTTTCTGATCATCATGACAATATTCCTTTCACTTTAAATAAAATAATTTCTCTCAACAATCAATGCTCTGTGAAGCCCTCATTGGCAAACAAAATGCATAAAGTTCTTCTTTTTGTTGAAAATAATCAAAAACCATGACCATATGGCATAAGCCCATGCATGAGGCTCCTCCACAATGCCATGTTCTTCAAGACTGGTCAATATTTGTGTTCCCATTGGCTTTAGTCACAGCTCACAGCCAGGTCTGCCGACAACGGTTTTGGCTCCACATTCTTATAAGCTGTATTCGAAGGATTTCAATGGCCGGCATTTTTAAGATCCATGCAAGCACTACGTCTCTAAAGGAAGGCCACTGGGCTTTATAACTATAATTTTAAGAATAACAAGCTAAAAAATCATAGTTTTTTATTAGCTAATGTTCTTAAGAAGGTTTTTTTTTTTTAGTGATATCGATATAAAATTATAGTAATTATTCAAATATTTTTAAATAAATGATTGAGATGTATTCTTTTGTGCAAATCTTTTCGGATCCCACCATATATGATTATTATAATAATTTGTTTTTGTCATCTGGCCATTGAAAGATTATTTGAGGCATGAAAGATACAAGCAACTATGTTGAGATTCCACGCTTATGTAAGGCTTAACCAAGACGATAAGTAGGTGGTTGGCATGTTAGCTAGGGTTTCCAAAAGTTGAGAGCACAAAATAAAGCCATTTAGGTATGGGCGAAGCTTCCTTCCACTCAAAGCTACGTACCGGTAGGCAAGTTCATGATATGGGCCTTAATCCCTTTAAATTTCTATTGATTTTACCATTTCATTGTATTTCAATGATGACTGCCACCTCCCATATAATATGTTTTAAAAGTATTTTTTAATTAAAAATATATTAAAAAATATATTCTTTAATATATAATATCAGCATATTAAAACTATAAAAAAACATTTAAAACCATTAATCTAATTTTTTTTAAATTAAATAATTAAAAAGTACTTTGAAAAGAACTATAAAAAAACATTTAAAACCATTAATCTATTTTTTTTTTAAATTAAATAATTAAAAAGTACTTTGAAAAGAACTATAAAAAAACATTTAAAACCATTAATCTATTTTTTTTTTAAATTAAATAATTAAAAAGTACTTTGAAAAGAACTATAAAAAAACATTTAAAACCATTAATCTATTTTTTTTTTAAATTAAATAATTAAAAAGTACTTTGAAAAGAACTATAAAAAAACATTTAAAACCATTAATCTAATTTTTTTAAAATTAAATAATTAAAAAGTACTTTGAAAAGAAAAAAGAGTGAGATTCCTGTAAAATGATCGAGCATCTTACTTTTTTTAACATATAAAGGTAGCATGAGTAGATATTCAAGTAAACTAAAGTAGATTTAGTTTTCTTGAATATCTACTCGTGCTAGCTTTATAGTTCCATAAAAAAAAAAAAAAAAAAAAGATGAAGTCAAAATCAGCATCATTCATAAAGTTTGGTTTAAAAGCTCAATTTCTGTGTCAAGACTGGTTAGAAAAGCAAATAAATTAATATCATTGTTTTCTTTTTTATATATAAGATTATGGCATCCTTTGTCACGTCAATCTCCCTTCATTAGTTAGAAAAGTACATTTTTCTGATGGTAAGAACCACGTTAAAATTTCTTTTTCTTTTTACTCCACTTATTTTGGTACAAATGCTTTTGCATTTGTCATGTTTTTTATATCCGAATCTTTTAATTAAAAAATAAGTTGGTCTTATTTTAGTTTATATTAAAAATGATATTAACTTGGCAAATTTAAGATAGACTTTAAATTTAATGACATAACTATAATAGTGCATATAATAATAATTAATTTAAAATATGACTCGAACCAAGTTTTATTTTTAATTAGAGTGGATTGATTATCTAAGATGTTGATTAATTACTTGTGTTTTTAAAAAAAGTTATTAAGAAAACATTATTTTATTTTTTTTGAATTTGATCTGATCACAAAGCATTTATTTAAAACGTGGAAGAATAGGAATCCCAAATTTTTCATTGTGAATTGCACAAGAATTTCACTCTTTTAATCAATAATAATAGTGTTTAGAGAGCAACTAATATAAATTTCGTAGTCGACAACTTTACATAATCTCTCATATATCAACATTTCACGAGAAGGAAGGGAATTGCTCAATGCACTGATTTTGCTCATTCGTTGTAGAATTCTTATCGCCAAGTACAATGATGGGATCCTGACAGTCCACATTCCATTATCTAGATGGATCATGCATGACCTAAATTTCTGACAGCGAAGCTTGATAACGTTTACAAACAGAAACCATCGACCAGTTACTGTCAGAAATTAAAGAAAGCAAATAGAAAATGAAGGCAAAGGAGATGCTGAGATGCACTATCACTATACAAATAGCAATGATTATGGAAGCTTAATTTAAAATCCCTTATATTCATATATTAAAAATCTTAACATCTCTTGTAACCCTGTAGTAAAATATTGTTCCCACATCACCAACCTTACTGTATCACATAAAATCTTTGTAACGAAGGAAGAAGACCCAAAATGCAGCCAGAACTGACCCCAACATTTCAACATAGACAACTAGGTAGCTAGACAAGGTTATGACATGAGCATACGTAATGCTATTGTTTAATTTGATCATATCGACACCATAATAATTTCCAAACCCAGTGATTTTTGGTGGAATTTGGCTTAAGGCAATACGGACATTCTAGATGCTTTCACATGATCGTGCATGACGGGGGATTATCTTCGCAGACGTATTCACATCTGCACACATAGTAACCGCTTCTTTGGCAACCACAGCCGCCGCCGCTGCCAGACCAACTATCATACACTGGCCTTCCATAAGCTTCATAACATGGGGGTGCTCGCCTACCATAGTCTTGATTACATGGGCCTCCACTAATCCCATGGTAGCATTCAGCACAACATGTCCTTGGGTGGACTGGTTCCGGAGCTTTAGGTGGTGGTGGAGCCGGTTTTGGAGTTGGGATTAGGGCGAATGCTGGCCTCCTATAGTCATGATAACATGGGCCTCCACTAATCCCATGGAAGCATTCAGCACAACATGTCCTTGGGTGGACTGGTGACGGTTTCTCTGGTTCTTTGGCTTTTTCCGGTTCTTTGGGTTTCTCTGGTTCTTCGGGCTTCTCCGGTTCTTTGGAATTCTCCGTTTGCTTAGGCTTTTCAGGTTCTTTTGGCTTCTCCGGTTCTTTAGTTTTAGCTGGTGGTTCTTTGGGTTTCTCTGGAACCTTGATCTCAATGCTCTGGACAGCTTCACCTCCCTTACAGATTATCTTTTCCTTGATCTTTTCAGGACTGCAACATACCACAGTGATGGTCACTGTGCCTGCCTTCTTGTCATATATCTGGTTCTGAATTTCTCTTGTTCACAATCCACAAAAACAACTTAGCCACTTTCCTTTCATCGTAAAACAGCTCAAACTAAGTTATAGTACATGGAGGAAGAGGCACTCACGAGGGATTCTACACAGTACTTTCTTGCTTTTCTTGTGGCATTTCTCACATTCAAGGGCAACCTTGATCACCATTTCTGTGACTTGCTGCAATAGGAGCACATAAAAACAAGGACATTCTAAGCCAGGAAGAATATTGAAAGGACTGGAACACTTTCTGACATGGAAGGATATTGATCAACAAAGATAATGAACAAGAAGATGAGATCCATACTCCATAGGGTCAAAAACAATGACCACACCACATAAAAAGAAGAAAAACCCTAATGAATGCGCTAAATAAAAGATAAATCTAAACCAAGAAAAGAAGAAGAAGGAAAATATATCAAAATCTCCACATCCATCCATGCACATACCTTTTCAGCCATGGTTTTTTCGAAGCTTTGATCTGGACCTGATGAGATGACAGAATTGAGAGCAGAGTGAAGGAATAGACCAGAGGGTGAGAGGGAGACAGAATAGACCAGAGGGTGAGAGGGAGACAGGGGCTTATAAAATTAAGATTGATCACAACTTAAGTAGTAGAAGTGTTGAGACCAAAGCTTAAATACCTTGCACCTAGAGGACAATAAGAAGAGGACACGTGGGATTGGGGTGTTGAGCTTGACGTCATATTGTCGTTTCTTTTTCATTGCTGACCCTCCAAACCTGCGTATGCAAGTGCTGGCTCTGTTGGACACATCTCACCTTCAATTTTGTTAACCATTTCGAAGGTTTTTGTGCATCCTACAGTGCATTAGTTCAGTCATGTCAATAAATGAGCCATGCAAAACCCATGACAACCGTACACGTGTCCCCAAAAAATTCACCATAAAAAATTAAAAATCTTCAATTAATATTTCCATATCTCATGTTAAAAGAATTTAGCCGCTGTTAGATTGTTGTTTCCTGATAAAAACATAGAAAACTTGAATTATAAAATTATTTTAAAATTATTATAAAAACAATTTTATTTTATATTTTTATTTTTATCCTAATTTCTATCACATCCAACATTATAACAGCCTTAAAAATAAATCTTTTTAAAAAATAAATTTATGATATCTTATTTTTATTTTTTAATGGTGAAAATCTCATTTAAAAAATTGTCATATAGTATTATAATCAGTAAAAATCTTGACTGGCTAACAAAAATTTTATAATACAGAATTGATTATATAAAAAAAATATTATCATCCCTTTAGTATTATACTTGAGGTATGCTATATTGCTTATTTTTATTATAAATTACTAATATTTTGTTATTCTATATTATAATGGTTTGTATGTAAAATTTTTAACTCTAACATCAGTAGATATTTAACTATAGATACTTTTAATTCTAGCATTGGTAAATATTATATACCTATAAAAATAAAATAAAATAAAATAAATTTAAATTAATATTTTTATTTCTGATTCTAATATTAGTAAATAAAAAATAAAATAAATCTATTTTTACACAAACAAAAATTTTTTATATTTATGTAGCTAAATACAATAAAATAAAATAAATTTTTACTAATATTTTTATTTCTACTCTAATATCAGTAAATAAATCAATAAAATAAATTTATATTTTTTTATATAAATATATTTTTTATTTTTTTATTTTTTAAAATTGAATTAGGCACAACCAGCTCTACCTACTCACTGGCTAAAGCAAGTGATCCGGCTAGGCAAAGGTACGCACAACACATGCGTGCACAGTGAAGGGCTAATTAAAATTCACGGGAAAAGTGTCTAATGAATTAAATTGCAGAATGAGAAAGGATGAACTTACTTGGTTTGGTATGCTTGACAACGAAGACGAAGCTGCGCGTGATTAGTGCACTGGTTAGGCAACGCCTTGTTCTTTTATTCTGTCTTCCTTTGCTTTCTCCCCTAGTTCTGGAAACGTCAAAGGCAGTAGCAACGATCTCGGTGACTTTCCTCTTCTTGTGTTCTTTCCTTATGCTTCTTTCTTTGATTGTGTTCTGTCTCCTCTGGTTTTGAGATGAAGTAAAGTAGACAATGGTGATGCTGGTTGTCAATAGTCTTTGGTTTAGTGTCATTCTTTATCTACAGGAACGAAGACAATGGCAGGGCTGATCTGTGACTCTCCGTCTCTCCTTCTCTGTGTAATCCCTGTTTTTCCCCTGCCCCCTGCTTCTTTGTTTTTTTTTTTTTTTGGTGTTATTCGTCTTCCACTTGTCCTCTGTTTATTTCTGTTTCGGTTCGTGATCTACCCCCTACTTCTCCCGCTCGTCCCCTGTTCTTGTTTTTGTTCGTCCTCTGGTTTTCCTCTGTTTATCCCCGGCGTCCTTTTTGTTTTCTTTCCCTTTGTTTTGTTCTTCTCTTGACCTTCCCTTTTTTGTGTTCTTCTCTGGCTTTTTATAGGGTCAGAGAAGCTTGCCCAAGAACAATCCCCACTTACAATACTACATTGCAGGACTGTTAATTGATCCACGAGCGGGATCTTGGGCAATGGACGTGATGCATGATTCGGACCGAAATTACTACAACTTTTCTATCTCCCCTGTTGAATCGGGATAGTGAAGATGAACATGACTGTTCCAGCAACGGTGCCGTTTCGACTCAAATGGACATTCTCATTCTGACCCCTGAACTTTTACAATTTAACAATTGAGTTCCTGATTTTGTTAATTAAATAATTTCAAGTTCATTTAAGTCCTTAAACTTATCAACTCTTCAATTAAACTCTTGATTTGATTAATGAAACTATTCTCAGATTTAATTAAATCCTCAAACTTTCAATTATGTTGCCTTAGCCAAAATTTAATTTATTCTTCATTAATTTTGTTTTTTTCATGTATATTTTTTAAATAAAAATAAGACAAAATAAAATAATTAAAAATTAAGTTATGACATCTTTATGCACTAACACCACATAATCTGAAGTGATATAATTCTAACGAGCTCCTCTGTTTCAAAATTTGAATTTATAAAGTAACATAAGAACACATATCTCTTTAACATCTAGTCCAAATTTGATTAATTTTTTATGATACATGTAAAGTAATTAGTTGTATTTTGTTAGTCACTATGATTTTTTTTTTAAATACAAAGATAATAATAAGAAGAAAAATTAATAAGTTGAGACATTTGTATTACTCTCTCTTGTATTTATATTTTTTTTCTAAAAGTACATCTTATAAAATAATTAATAAATTATTACTAATTCCTATATATCACACCACCATGGAATACTTCATATAATCTAAACGACAAAAAGCAGTATAATTATAATGATATGAAAAGGAGAAATTAGAAACCCAAGTCGTTAAGCAAGTAGCCCATCGTTTCATCTCATCACTTGAACCTCAAAAGTGATAGGATACATTCGTGGTGCCCATCTCCTCATCCCTATGTGTGGACAAAAAGAAGAAAGTTAACAAATTGTGGGCCAGAAGTTGCGTCAATGAGTGCAAACTTTGAAAGCTGAGGCACGTTTAACGAACCCGTTTGAAATTACTGTCAACTGTATTTCTTGAAAATTTTAATTTTTTAATTATATATATATATATATTTGACTGTTTTCATATACTGGTATAATAAAAAAATTTGAAAAATAAAAATTATATATTTTATTTTAATATATTTTCAATAATGAGAGTGTTTGGAGAGCGACTCATATAAATTTCGTAGTCGGTAACTGTACATAATCTTATGTCGACAAATCACGAGAAGGAAGGGAACTGCTCATTCATTAATTCATGGGAGAATTCTCATCGCCAAGTACAATGATGGGATCCTGACAGTCCACATTCCATTATCTAGATGGATCATGCATGACCTAAATTTCTGACAGCGAAGCTTGATAACGTTTACAATCAGAAACCATCGATCAGTTACTGTCAGAAATTAAAGTGAGCAAATAGAAAGTGAATGGAAAAGAGATGCTGAGATGCACCATCACTATACATACAAATAGCAATGCTTATGGAAGCTTTAAAATCCCTTATATTAATTTATTAAAAATCTTCACATCTCTTGTAATAAAATATTGTTCCCACAAGATCACCACCCTTATTGTATCACATAAAATCTTTATAACGAAGAAAGAAGACCCAAAATGCAGCCAAAGCTGACCCCAGCATTTCAACAGACAACTAGGTAGCAAGACAAGGTTATGACATGAGCATGAATAATGCTATTGTTTCATTTGATCATATCCACACGATACTACTGTCCATATCCAGTAATTTTTGGTGGAAATCGGCTTAAGGCGATATCTCTACATGCTTTCACATGATTCTGCATGACGAGGGATTATCTTCACAGACATATTCACATCTGCACACATAGTAACCGCTTCTTTGGCAACCACAGCCGCCGCCGCCGCCGCCGCCAGACCAACTATCATCCTCTGGCCTTCCATAAGCTTCATAACATGGGGGTGCTGGCCTACCATAGTCATGATAACATGGGCCTCCACTAATCCCATGGTAGCATTCAGCACAACATGTCCTTGGGTGGACTGGTTCCGGAGCTTTAGCTGGTGGTGGTGCAGGGTTTGGAGCTGGGTTTGGGGCCGGTTCTTTGGGTTTCTCCGGTTCTTTCGGCTTCACTGGTTCTTTGGGTTTCTCCGGTTCCTTGGGCTTCTCCGGTTGCTTAGGCTTTTCAGGTTCTTTCGGCTTCTCCGGTTCTTTGGGTTTCTCCGGTTCTTTGGGCTTCTCCGGTTGGGCTTCTCCGGTTGCTTCTTTCGGCTTCTCCGGTTCTTTGGGTTTCTCCGGTTCTTTGGGTTTCTCCGGTTCTTTGGGCTTCTCCGGTTGCTTAGGCTTTTCAGGTTCTTTCGGCTTCTCCGGTTCTTTGGGCTTCTCCGGTTGCTTAGGCTTTTCAGGTTCTTTCGGCTTCTCCGGTTCTTTGGGTTTCTCGGGTGCTGCTTTGGGTTTCTCTGGAACCTTGATCTCAATGCCCTTGACAGCTTCACCTCCTTTACAGATTATCTTTTCCTTGATCTTTTCAGGACTGCAACATACCACCGTGATGGTCACCCTGCCTGCCTTCTTGTCATATGTCTGGTTCTGAATTTCTCTTGTTCACAATCCACAAAAACAACTTAGCCACTTTCCTTTCATCTTATATAAAACAGCTCAAACTAAGTTATAGTACATGGAGAAAGAGGCACTCACGAGGGATTCTACACAGCACTTTCTTGATTTTCTTGTGGCATTTCTCACATTCAAGGTCAACCTTGATCACCATTTCTGTGACTTTCTGCAATAGGAGCACATAAGAACAAGGACATAATTTCTAAGCCAGGAAGAATATTGAAAGGACTTGAACACTTTCTGACATGGAAGGATATTGATCAGTAAAGATAATGAAAAAGAAGATGAGGTCCACAGGGCCAAAAACAATGACCACCGCATAAAAAGAATGAAAAGCCAGATGAATGGGCTAAATAAAAGATAAATCGAAACCAAGAAAAGAAGAAGAAGGAAATATATCAAAATCTCCACATCCATCCATGCACATATATCAAAATCTCCACATCCATCCATGCACATACCTTTTCAGCCATGGTTTTGTCCAAGCCTTGATCTGAAGCTGATGGGATGATAGAATTGAGAGCAGAGTGAAGGCACGGACCAGAGTGTGAGAGGGAGATTGAGATACCAGAAAGAGGCTTACAAAATGAAGGTTGATCACAGCTTAAGTAGTACAAGTGTGGACATGGTTTAAATACCGTGCATCTAGAGGCCAATAAGAAGATACCACGTGGTATTGGGTGTTGAGCTTGACGTAATATTGTCGTTTCATTTTTAAATGCTGACCCTCCAATCATGCACATGCATGTGCTGGCTTTGATGGGCACATCTCACCTTCAATTTTGCTAAACATTTCGGAGGGTGTAGTGCATCCTACGGTGCATTAGTTTAGTCATTTCAATAAACGAGCCATGCAACCCCCATGACAGCCGTACACGTGTCCCCAAAAACTCCCCACATAAAATTAAAAAATCTTCAATTAATATTCCCATACCTCATGTGTAAAAGAATCCAGCCGGCGTTTGATTGTATTTATTATTTTACCATGAATATAAAAACATGAATTATTGTATTTATTATTTTACCATGAATATAAAAATGAAAATGAGAAATTAGGAACCAAGTCGGAAAGCAAGCAGCTCATCGTTTTATCTTATCCCTATGGGTGGACATAAAGAAGGAAGTTAACGAATTGTGGGCCCAGAAGTTGCGTCCACGATTGCCAAGTCTTAAAAAAATCCCATCAAAATCATTATTGCTTTGCAGAGTTGTCGAGAGGAATCACATGAATCTAATTTGAAATTGGTGCCTCTACTCTTCTGCAGGTCATGAGAGTAGAGAACCCAAGGAAAGCGATGGGCCAGTCCATTGTCTATGTTTTCTCTCTTACAAAATGGGCTTCGTTAATACTGGGCTTTGCCCATGTTTTACAGGGCATATTAATTAGCCCATCATTTACATGGCTATACCAGGACTGGCTGAGAAGCCCAGAGGCTAAAACAGGGTTGCAGGCAACACAGATTGCTTTGCTTCGAGTCAAATATTATTCTTTCTAGTAGAAAAAATGAATAAACACGTTTTTTTATTATATTTTTTTAATGTAAAATATCTTATTATAAAAAGAAAAAAATATATATTTGGATTGACCTGATAATCTTTGAATTTACATGATAAACTTTCTAATCCATTAAACATTTATTTAAAACGTGAGAGAATTGAAATCCTATTTTTTTTTTATTGTGAATTTTACAAGAATTTCACTCTTTTAATCAATAATATTAGTGTTTAGAGAGCAACTCATATAAATTTCGTAGTCGACAACTTTACATAATCCCATGTCAACAAATCATGAGAAGGAAGGAAACTGCTCAATTCAATGATTCTGTGATAAATTCAAGGGAGAATTCTTATCGCCAAGAACACTGATAGAATCATGACAGTCCACATTCCATTCTCTAGATGGATCATGCATGATCTAAATTTCTGACAGCGAAGCTTGATAACATTTACAAACTGAAGCCATCACCAGTTATTGTCAGAAATTAAAGAAAGGTAATAGAAAGTGAATGCAAAGAAGATGCTGAGACGCACCATCACCATATGTACAAATAGCAATGATTATGAAAGCTTTAAAATCTATTATATTAATTTATTAAAAATCTTAACATCTCTTGTAATGAAATATTGTTCCCACATCACCAACCTTACTGTATCACATAAAACCTTTATAACTAAGAAAGAAGACCCAATATGCCGCCAAAACTGACCCCAACATTTCAACATAGACAACTAGAGCTAGCTAGACAAGGTTACGACATGACCATGAGTAATGCTATTGTTTAATTTGATCATATCGACACCATACTAATGTCCAAATCCACTGATTTTTGGTGGAGATCGGCTTAAAGCATCGCCATTCTTGATGCTTTCACATGATGGTGCATGACGAGGGATAATCTTCACAGACATATTCACATCTGCACGCATGGTAGCCGCTTCTTTGGCAACCACCCCAACTATCATGCACTGGCATTCCATAAATTTCATATCTTGGGGGTGCCGGCCTACCATAGAAATGATAACATGGGCCACCACTAACCCCTCGGTAGCATTCAGCACAACATGTCAATGGGTGGACTGGTTCAATAATAAGCGCTTTCGGCTTGTCTGGTCCTTGGGGCTTGCCATTGCCATCAACTGGTGCTGCTGTCTTGTCCGGTTGTTCGCGTTTCTTCTGTGCTTCGGGCGATTTTTTGTCCTCCTTCTTTTCTCCGCCCTTCTTCGTATCTGGTGCTTTGGGTTTCTCTGGAACCTTGATCTCAATGCTCTTGACAGCTTCACCTCCCTTACAGATTATCTTTTCCTTGATCTTTTCAGGACTGCAGCATACCACCGTGATGGTCACGGTGCCTGCCTTCTTGTCATATGTCTGGTTCTGATTTTCTCTTGTTCCAAATCCACAAAGGCAACTTAGCCACTTTCCTTTCATCTTAAAACAGCTCAAACTAAGTTATAGTACATGGAGAAAGAGGCACTCACGAGGGAATCTACACAGTACTTTCTTGATTTTCTTGTGGGATTTCTCACATTCAAGGTCAACCTTGATCACCATTTCTGTGACTTTCTGCAATAGGAGCACATAAAAACAAGGACATTCTAAGCCAGGAAGAATATTGAAAGGACTGGAACACTTCCAGACATGGAAGGATATTGATCAGTAAAGATAGCGAACAAGAAGATGAGGACCATAGGGCCAAAAACAAGGACCACCACACAAAATGAAGAAAAACCCAAATGAATGGGCTAAAAAAAAGACAAATCTAAACAAAGAAAAGGAGGAGGAGGAAATATATCATAATCCCCACATCCATCCGTGCACATACCTTTTCAGCCATGGTTTTGTCTACGCTTTGATCTGGACCTGATGAGATGATAGAATTGTAGGCAGAATGAAGGAGCAGATGGTGAGAGGGAGATTGAGATACCAAAAAGCAGGCTTATGAAATTAAGAGTGATCACAACTTAAGTAGTAGAAGTGAGAGACCATGGTTTAAATACCGTGCATCTAGAGGCCAATAAGAAGAGAGCACGTGGGATGAGTTGTGGAGCCTGGCGTAATATTGTCGTTGCATTTTTTATTGCTGACCCTCCAATCCTGCATTTGCATGTGCTGGCTTTGATGGATACAACTCACCTTCTATTTTGTTAGTCATCTCGAACGGTGTAACTCATCCGACGGTGCATTAGTTTAGTCGAGTCAATAAATGAGCAGTGCAACCCCCTGACAACCGCACACGTGTCCCAAAAATCCCCACCATAAAATTAAAATAATTAATTAATATTTCCATATCTACTGTCAATAAACTGGCTTTGATTGTTGTTTCCTGATAAAAATAAAAAAAGTAAAGATAATAAAAATACATTGAGGAGGCATGGAAAACTTGGATCATTGTATTTATTATTTTGAAAATATATAAATTTATTACAAAAATAATTTTATTTTATATTCTTATTTTTATCCCCCGTCCTCCATTAACACATAACTTTAAGTGTCCTAATTCTAACGAACTCCTCTGTTTCAAAATTTGAATTTATAGAGTAACATAAGAACACATCTCTTTAAAAACCTGTCCAAATTTGATTAATTTTTTTATGATACATGTAAAGTAATTAGTTGATTTACTTAAAAAAATGTATAATAGAAGGGAAATAATAAGTTGGGATATTTTTATTATTCTCCTTTCTATTTATATTTTTTAAAAATAAATCTTATAAAATAAGTAATAAAATATTACCAATTCCTATCATCACCCTAGAATACCTCATATAATCTAAACGAAAACATCTATATATTTATAAAGATATGAAAATGGGAAAGAAACCCAATGATTGATGTTCTCTAATGATACATTAGGGATGGCTATCTTCTCATCCCTATGTGTGGACATGGAGAAGAAAGTTAACAAATTGTGGGTCCAGAAGTTGCGTCCGTCAACTTTCTTCTTCTTTTCTTCTTTTTTTATTAATATAAATATTCTATCATTTTACATATTCATCCCATTATAAACTCTAAAATTAAGAATTATAATTTATAAAAATTAAACTAATAATTTATAAATAATAAATTTAAAAAATAATCAGTTAAATTATATTTATTGATGTATAAAACTACATTAAACTGTATTTTTTAAAAAATATATTGTTTTTAGATTTTTATTTTATACATTTTTAAATTATTTTTATATTTAAAAATAAAAATAAATCTTAAAAAATAAAAATATTATTGTAGTATATTCCAATATTTTTTATATTTTTTTTAAAAAAATTATTCCTTCAATATGTTTTAAATGTTTTAAAAAAGTATTATAGAAAAACCACCATCGCCGAAGGACGGTCGAATGATGTGGTTTCTGGGTTTTTAATTTGAAACAAACAATAACACTTTGGAAGAAAACATCCAAAAGGACAAAATAGGAGGACTTTGCAAAGACTAAGAAACAAAGAGGAGGTAGCAAAGCCGGGACCAAACATGTACCCAGCCACCGACATTGACTTGAAAATACTAGCAAGGCACAAACAAATTAAGGCGTGCATCATCTAGACGGAAGAGGTCAGAAGAACAGCAGCGTCGTCACAAAAGGGATGATATTATAAACACAACAACAGTACTAAGGTCCATCATGACCACTGGATTTGAATCCAATGGTTGATGTTGGACGTTGACTCAAATCATCGGTCTTACAGTATTTACATTATCTAATTTAACCTGGCCTCCAATCATGCACCTGCATGCACTGGCTTTGATGGACACATGCACCTTCCCTTTTGTTAATCATTTCGAAGGCTGCAATATTGCTGAGCTTGCACCATTTTTTCCAAGGAAACAAGCATGATCACGTTTACACCACAGAAGCAATCATACGGTCAGAGACTGAAGAAAGCAACTGAGAGTGAAAGAAACGGGCGTGCACGCTCACCTTTGGAATATGGAACCTTTTGCTTTTATCAGCAATAATTGTAACCACATGCGTGTAACCCTACAATGATATTTATGGAAGGAAAAATATATTTTCAATTAATTAACAAAATTTACATTGGGATAATATCATAGGCTCCTAGCCAGTCTTTAGACGTCCA